CATAGGCCCCTCGCCAGTCAATGCCAAATCCTTTGTAGGCTAGTTGAAGAGTGGCAAAATCGTGCAGGTAATGTGCCCAAATCGGCGTCTGTGTCTTAGACGCTGAAAACATGCTTTTTAATTCCTGTTTGTCGGCTTCTATCCCAGCTGCGAGCAGCAGTGCTTTCGGTAGCGGTTTTGAGAACTGACCATTTAGAAAGCAATGCCCCTGTGTCAGTTCCGGGATCACATGGTGGAAAAGAAGGGTGAATAGACCCATAACAAGCTTGTCGTATGAGTCAACTAATTAGAGGTTTCCTTCACAGTTTTTTTTTTTTTTTTTTATCCAGATGGTGGGATTATCTACACAAATGAATTTTTTAAGATAAAGTCCGCGGGAGTTGAAAGCAAAAACTATTTAATGAGCAAAAACGGTTTAATGCCAGAAAGCCTTGCAAAGGATATTCTCTTAGTTTCAGAATTGAGGTAGAGGCGGATATGTATTTTTTTTTCAGTTGCCGCTGGTAGTGAGCATTCGTTCGATTTCATCACCATGGCAAACCGATGTGATGGTAAATAAACAAGTAGTTATACTGGCTGATTTCGCACAAGTTAGGGGTGAAATCATGCATGACAAAGCAGATGTCGTTTGGAAGCAAGTAAATAGCGCGGAAGAGAGAACACATTACAACTGCCTGATAAGAAGAACTGGCAAGACATAGGGCGTGCCGCTTCGGGATTTGCCAGTTAAGTGATTTTGTGTGGTTTTGTTTGAGTTATGTTTGTGCCGATGAAGGCTCTATAGCCACAACGTTTACGTTTCGTTTGTATTTGTTTTATCGTGAAGGTCGCTTTCCTACTTTTCGGTTTTCACATCTTTTCATGAAAAGAATAATCCAAAGGAGAGTGACTAGAAGATACGGCTGACGATCAACACTTAGAAGTAGGGCAAGATAAACACAAGACCACAGCTGGCCTCGTTAGGGGTGATACTAAGGTGAACATTGGTGACTTGCACGGAGCACGGAGCCCTTATGTAAATGCCACGAGTGTTGTAACATCAGATCTTAGCTCCCTTCAACCCACCTGTGTCCCCTCCCTACGCCTGACGATTTCGCGACGCCCCTGGTTCTGCTGTCAGAGTAATATAATGTGGTGACTGTTTGGCAGAATGTGGCGTAGGAAAAGATAATTTAACGTTTTGAATAATGTTATGGGAGACAACTGCGGCGTCCTTGGCTTAGGCGTTGGAAGTCCGTCTCCTAATTCCAACGTACCGCGATCGAAACCCACTGCTGGCTGAGTGGATTTTTATCATGGTATGGGGCGTCGCAGGTCGACCTAGGGTATTAGGATGGTTGTCCTGGGGAAGTAAAGACGACCGGCGTAATGCTGACCACATTAAGCACCCAGAGCCGATTGGTCTGTAAAAAATATGGGACGCTCTTCCCAAATACCCGTCGCGCCTAAGGCGTGAAAAAGGATCTTTACCTTATCTGACTTTAATGGGAGACAAGTATTAAAATCTATATCCTTCTCCATTCTTACTTTGCAGTAAAAGATACTCTCCCTTTTAAAACCAACAATGCTTTCGTTAGCGATCATTGGCTGTAAACTCCGTCGGACAGTTCTGGTTGTTCGTTCACTTCTAAACTTTACTCTTGCTACAGAACTTAAGTGTTGCTTGAACACGTCTAGCTTACTTGTTATATGGTTCCTCGCATATCAGGCAGATGTACTCCGATTTTTAATGAAACAACCCCAATTAATAGCTTTTTACGACATGTTTGTTGGACAAAATGGGAAGACGGGGGCGGGGGGGGGGGGGGGGGGGGTACTTTCACTTTTGCAAAGACTGGGACCCAAACCCCATTCGGAGACAATGCATTCGAGAAATATATCTTACAGTGTCAACATTTTCAGAACCAACCTGTACTTACTGTCGTCTCTAGTAGTAGTAGACTTTCTACCCCACCAGGACATCACACAAGCGATATAACACCCGGTGACACAAAGTGCCACTATGTGGATGAGGATCACCCGTAGAGATGTCCCAGAAACCGCGTTCAGCCATTAGACCATATTTATGGTCAGGCTATATTGCGGCCCTCTCAGGTCGACCCAGCCTAGAGTGGGTACCGGGTGCAGTCCCAGGAAGTAGAGGCGGTCGGCGTGATGCTGACCACATCACCCATCTTGTGCCGATTGGTCTATAAAATTTTGGTCTAGCCCTATGTGCCCTATACGCCTAAAGGCGTGGGAAAGTGTCCTTCACTTGTTACTTGTTTACTATATTGCGGCCCCTGGCAAGAGCCAGAGTAGGGCTTCACATAACGAAAAATTGCATCTCACAGGGAAATGACTTGACGATATAGTCAATGCAGGTAGTGAAAAACTGTCGTCACTTCATTTATCGGGAGATGCATTAGTTTGGACCAGCAAGAATTTGGGTTCATGGAAGAATGAATAACACTATGAGAAATAACACTATGCGCACAAGAAGTAAAACTAACAATTCACAGTAAACTTTTTCTTCTTCTTCGTGTTCACCAGCTGTAAACTCTGGCGGAAGGTTCTGGTTGCTCGTCCACTACTGAACTGCAGTCCTGCTCCAGAGCCTGAGAGTTGCGTATGCATCAGTTTTACAGATCTCATTCTCTTAAATACAGACTGTTGGTCTGCACTCCGACTTCAAAGGAAGCTCCCCAATTAGTCGACTCTTACGACATGCTTTTGGGGAGGCACTGGGTCTATTCTTGTTTTCCCCAACAAAAGGGCCCCGGCACCAACACGGGGGTTCACAGTAATGTATTGCTTTAACAACCATCTGTGATAATATAAGGGCAAGAAATTAGTACTCTCATTCGGCTAATTTATAAACCAATAATGAGTTACATTGTATAGAAAGAGTTTTGAGTCGAGAGAATAGGCTTTATTGCAACCAGTTTTATACTCCAGGATTTGGCTTCTGTCTCTCACAGAGAAAGCGGCCCACGAAGAGCGTGCAAAAAAGCCCGAACTTCGTCATTCAAACGACGATTCCCAGGACAAATTAAAGGACCCTTTTCGCAGCCCTCGGGCGTGTTGGGAACATAGGGCTTGAACTCAATTTTATAAACCAAATGGTACTTGGTGGATGATGTGGCAATCATCACGCCGGCCGCTTTTACTTTCCAGGACTGTACCTGTTACCCAGTCAAAGCTGGGACAACCTGGAAGCCAAGGTTATTTTTGAAAAAGTCCGGGCCCTTTCAGGACCCGAACCCATGACCTTCCCATCCGCAGGCGAGCGTCTAGTCGCTAGACCACGGAGGTTTTCCAATGACTCTCGATGGTTTCCGTACAATTTGGCCTGGCAGTACCTGAAAAGACCGCGTGGACTTCAAAGTGCCAATCAAACAGCTTAACCACTTCGCTGCTACGGAGATCCCCCATCTCTTAGTACAGCGATACCTCTGAATTCGAACACCCGAAAACTCGAACAGCTTGAAATCTGAATCGATTTGTAAGCAAATTTATACTTTAGAAATCAAACGCCGCTTTGTAAACCGAACGTCTGACACGTGCCGATCACGCGACAGAGCTGAAAATGCAAGAGCTTCAGCACCTTCACCAGCATCAGGAGAAAGAAACTGCAACAGAAGTTTCTTCCAGGGGAGAAAGAGTAGAAAGCTGGAAGTGTTAGCACTGAAAAAGTCTAAGATCTTTCGACCTTATGGTCGAAAACGAAGTAATTGAGAGATGGCACCAGAAGACAGCTTTAGTCAACATATGTTTTAACTTATATGATAGCACGGTGCTTTATTAATATCCAAACAGGAGAAATCTAATATTTCAGGGGGTGGTAGATAGGCTGCATGCAGTCGTGGGACCTAGGCTGCATGCAGTCGTGGGACCTAGGCTGCATGCAATCGTGGGACCTAGGCTGCATGCAGTCGTGGGACCTAGGCTGCATGCAGTCGTGGGACCTAGGCTGCACTCTCTCGTGAGACATAGGTGGGTTGGGGTTAGGGCCAGTTTTAGATGTTTTGGGGTCATTAATTCCTGACGTTATCATGAAAGTTGACTCTCACCTTCCTAACAATAATTTCAATTAAATCCTTCCTCCTTCTACTTCTATTTGTCATATCAACATTTTTTTAAAGTGTAGTAAATGCAATGTTTTATATCCTTTGTATTTATTCATATCTGCATTCAAATATGATTATCATTTCTAACTATATTTACAGTACAGCCAGTAAACCAGTGGTTGTATAACAGATTATTGCAAGTACAAGTGCACTCAGTTTAAAAACGTTTCTTGACGCCCCCCCCCCAAACCCCCCCCCCCCCCCCACACTCTCTCTCTAAACTTGCTTGCGTCCCCAGGCTGAAACCCGTAGGGTTAGACTGTTGCATGTGGGCCCGAATGTACTGAAGTCTAATCCCCAGGGATGGGGAATGTTTGAACTAACGAAAGACACAGACAGACAGAAAGAAATAATTAAGAAAGAAAGAAAAGACAGCTAGATAGACAAACAGAAAGGAATGAAGACAACCAGACAGATAGAAAGGAATACAACGAACATGTAGGCAGATAGAAAGGCGGTAAGAAGGAAAGAAACTGGGACAGATAGACAGATGGACGGGCGTACAGAGACAGACATTACACGTTTCGCTTCAAATCAGTGGCCTTCAACCCTTCTAATGCGGCGACCCTTTAAAAGAGTTCCTCGTGTTGTGGAGACCCAAATCATACACTTATTTTCGTTGCTACTTCATAACTTTAATAAACATGTGCTGTTGGATAGTCTTAGGCGACCCATGTGCAGGGTCGTTCGACCCAAAAAGGGGTCACGGCCCACAAATTAAGAGCAACTGCTTTAAATCAATGAAGCAGGGACACAATCGCGCTAGTAATACTTTAAAAAATATTACGGTGAATGATATCCCTTGTAAAGGAATAATGTTTGACTAAATTATAAATTAGGAATACGGTTGCGACGTATTCACTATTGTAGCATGCTTTAAATTATAATAAGCACCCAAATTCGCCTTGATGTTGGTCCTACATTTGTTAGTGACGAATGGAGCGATAAGGAACTGACCGACTACTTGGATGCACAGCTAATAAAGTAGCTTGGCGATAACGACCGCCTGCCTTCTCTAGAAATAGTTCCAGAAGGTCGTGGAAATAATTCTTATATGATTCAATAACTTTCCGTCCTTTTTAGGATGAAATTTTTCGTTATTTGAAGCCCTGCTCTGGCTCTTGCCAGGGGCCGCAATATAGCCTGGCCATAAATATGGTCTAATGGCTGAACGCGGTTTCTGGGACCTCTTCACGGTGATCCTCATCCACATGGTGGCACATTGTGTCATCGGGTGTTTATTGCTTGTGTGATGTCCTGGTGGGGTAGAAAGTCAGTCAGTAGAAATAATTCTTATATGATTCAATAACTTTCCGTCCTTTTCAGGATGAAATCTGTTGTTATTTGAAGCTTTACTCAGGATCTTGCAAGGGGCCGCAATATAGTCTGGCCATAAATATGGCATAAAGGCTGAACGCGGTTTCTGGGACCTCTCCACGGTGGTCCTCATCCACATGGTTGCACATTGTGTCATCGGGTGTTTATCGCTTGTGTGATGTCCTGGTGGGGTAGAAAGTCAGTCAGTCAGTGGAAATAACTATATTCACGTACAAAACTGATGATCCACCGCGGTTTGTACTTGAGAGACTAGAACTTAGGGGTTTCAGAGTTGGGGCCATGGCTGGAGTTGGTCAGATATGTATTTGGACTCTACACAAGCCATTCGCGGAATCATTTGCAAGATAAATTAAATATACTTGATGCGATATCACAGCAGCTTGGTCTGAAATAATCCATAATGGAAAAACAAAGATAATGAGAATAAATCTGGCAAATAGTAATGTGTTTTCTTAATGGCACCCCACTCCAAGATGTGGAGTCGTACACCTTATTTGGGCAGTAATGTAGATAAAGATGGAGGAACTGATAGAGATATTAAACTAAGAATACAAACGGCAAGAGGAGCTTTCATAGCACTAGGGAATTTGTGGAGGTCAAAAGAAATACTAAACTAAAAAATTTTAATTATAATGTCAAATCAGTAGTTTTGTATGGGGCGGAAACATAGAGAACAACCAAGGCAATCTATATATAAAAAAATCAATGTTTGTGTGTTTGTTTATGAGCTATAGACTCGGAAACTACTGAACCGATTTAGCTGAAATTTTCAGGATATGTTTGTTTTGATACCGGATGTTCACCCATCATGGTTTGAAATTCAACCTGTCATTGTTAGAGATAGTTTGCGACAATTTAAGCAAAAATATTCGAAACTAATATTTAAATTGTTAGTGACATCTAATTATAACCACGTTAGTAATTGCGCATGCGCCGTAGTCAGAACGCAAGACTTCACCATTCGTCGGCGAGTTACGTGCAGCAAACGCCTTCTCTAATACATAGTCGTGGTACAGCAAACAAGACTATCTCTATATTTGTGTAGGCAGTGATTGCCACAATAACTATCTTAAACACGATTTCTATTTTCTGTTTTTTTTTTTTTCAAACAACCTTTGATTGGGGGGGGGGGGGGGGGGGGGGCGCATCAAGGACTATCTCGACGTCGGCGCAGACATTGACTGCGACATTAACTTCATTAACCGTGTTAGACATGTGCGATTTCTATTGTTGTACCGTTTCATTAATATACCTAGAGTATCTGTCTATGAGAAAACAATTGCCTGCGGTTTTGAGTTGTGTTATAATCGGGACACAGTAGTAGGGACACACATCTCTGATGCTTTAGTTCTCTTTTCGTTGCTCCAATGAAGTGGCTGCTTTTTTTTATCCCGGAATAAAATAATATCATCATCTGCTCTGTCGTGGTGACAGCACTAGCCATGTTGCCCTTAATACTAAAAAAAAAAAAAAAGACAAGTAAATGGGTAAACCATTTGATAATTTGACCATTTCGCATACTTATGATTGCATTTTTAAACTTTCCGATTGCATGGTTACGCTGAAATTTCATAGCTTTCCATTTATTTTCATTTAGATTTAGTTATTACATCTGCGTTGGAATTTTAAGCTGTGCTGTTTATCATAGCGTTTATTTCCTAATTATGGTGTTTTTTCCGGTTTTCAGTTGCTTTTCAAGTGTTTTTTTTTTTCTCCCAACTACTTCAATGAGGGAAAGAGTTGTCGGTGAATTGGGTGGGGGGGGGGGGGGGGCAGACTGTTAACTGAGAGAGCTTTAAGTCACAGTAACTGCTTTACCCACTTAAAATAGCAGCAGCAGTAGTAGTTGTGGTTGGGCTGTTACACCGTAGTGCTCTCATGTGAAGACCGCCGGTAAGGTTATGGCGTTCTTCTGTTGGGAAGCGAAATTATACATCCTAACCTGACCATTCTGTGGCGACAGCACTAGCCATGCGGAACCAAATCTTCTGGCTCACGACTCTCTGTCTACTCCGATGGTAACACAGATAGCAGTGACATTATTTTAGCTACTGTGGTGGTGGTCGTGGTAGTAGTTGTACTGATACTTGAAGGATGTTGTGGTAAATATTACACTAGCCCCATTCACTACCTATTACAATTCCTGCTCCCCATTTTGATGGACAGGGATGTCAATGTCAGTTACAACAACAACAAAATATCGCCAGCTAATGATTTTCAAATATTTCGAAGAGGGAGAGAGCAGTAGTCGGTGGAAGAGGGGAGGGGACGGGGTAATGACTTAAATTTAAGAGAACTTAAAGAGCTTTACACGTGATTTTCAAGTTCTCATTACCTAATTTGTTTATATTTTACTAACGCTACCTCCGCTTTTCTATTTTTTACGACTTACTTTGTTATTTACAAGTACAGTTGTAGCTTTACTTCCGTCTCCTATAAAAATGCAAACAGCTTTAGCATGTGATAACCAAATAACCATTTTTGTTACTGTGCTAATAACACCATTTAAACGACCACTAATATAAAGACACAATTATGAGGTGAGTGTTCTAAAGTTGGAAAACCAGACTATCTCTATATCTGTGCAGAGAATTATTGCAACATTAACTATATTAGACACGTGCGATTTCCATTGTCTTTCTTTTCCAAAAACCTTTGATGAGGGAGAGAGTAGTAGGTGGATTTAGTTGTGGTGGTGGGGGGGGGGGGGCGGGATCAAAGACTATCTCTGTATCTGAGCAGACAATGATTGTATAAGACACGTGCGATTTCTATTTTCTTTCACTTCCATTTAGCCAAACTATGCCACAGCAACGCGTGGCCGGGTACAGCTAGTTACTTATAAATTACAGACATTCATTAACTGGTGCCTGTGCAGAATAGAGGGAATTAAACGTTATGATAGATTAACTAATGTATAGCTTTAGGAGAGAACTAAACAAGCTTTACTTGATCAAGAGGTAAGGAAAAGACGCTGGCGTTGGATAGGGCCCACGTTGAGAAAACAGGGTAACAGCATAACTAGAATGTCTTTGCACTGGAACCCAGAGAGGCAAAGGAATAAAGGAAGGCCAACAAATACCTGGAGAAGAGAGCCGGAGAATGAAGTTAGAAAGATGGGGAGGACCTGTAATAGCGAAGGATAGAACGACTTGGCGTGAGCTGGTTGAAGGCCTATGCTCCATAGGGGGATAGAAAGGCAGAAGAAGAAGAAGAAGAAGAAGAAGAAGAAGAAGAAGAAGAAGAAGAAGAAGAAGAAGAAGAAGAAGAAGAAGAAGAAGAAGAAGAAGAAGAAGAAGAAGAAGAAGAAGAAGAAGAAGAAGAAGAAGAAGAAGAAGAAAAAGAAGAAGAAAAAAGAAGAAGAAGAAGAAGAAGAAGAAGAAGAAGAAGAGAAGAAGAAGAAGAAAGAAGAAGAGAAGAAGAAAAGAAGAAGAAGAAGAAGAAGAAGAAGAAGAAGAAGAAAGAAGAAGAAGAAGAAGAAAGAAGAAGAAGAAGAAGAAGAAGAAGAAGAAGAAGAAGAAGAAGAAGAAGAAGAAGAAGAAGAAGAAGAAGAAGAAGAAGAAGAAGAAGAAGAAGAAGAAGAAGAAGAAGAAGAAGAAGAAGAAGAAGAAGAAGAAGAAGAAGAAGAAGAAGAAGAAGAAGAAGAAGAAGAAGAAGAAGAAGAAGAAGAAGAAGAAGAAGACAAGCCATTATGTAAGGGAGATAAGACCTTGGAAAGCCCAGATATATATGAGGTCATGTGTGAAATATTTTAAACACTTTGTTAATGTGTTTATTTAAGCTGAGTATAGTACTTTTTTTTAAATAGGTCATTCCTGAACAGTGGTAATAATAATGTGTAATAAATAATCTACTTGTGTTAACCTTTTTAAACAGATATTTAAGGGGGACAAAATACAGTGAGATGGATATACAGCTGAACCACAAATGCAATTGTAACAGTTCAGCCACCGTAAAACTGGGCAAAAGGCAGGCAAGAGAAAATAAAAACAGTCTGTACGACGCTCTCAGGAGGCAGCTAGCTGTTTGGCGAAGAGAGACTGAGCCATTTGGGATAAAACTCGGTGCAATAAAGTCGATTCTCCCATCTTAACCTTTACCTTTTTTTTTCCTCTACCGTCGATACTCAAAGGACTATCTTCTTATGTTATGTTTCTTCTGTTTCTTAACGTTCACCAAAATCCGGCGGTAAATATTGGCTGTTCGTCCACTCCTGGACTCGTGTATTATTCAAGAATTTGACGTTTGCAAGCGTATTTGTATAACATAACATAACCCTTGACCCGTTAGGGCCGTGGAGGTGAATTGGTGGTAGCACTGGGGCATGTATAGATAGAAGCACTAACATACAAAACCCGCCATCTTTCTCTGTCTCCTGCTTCATGAATAAGTGGATGATAATTTAGTCCTGTCCATTTTTTGACGTTGTCATTCCAGGTTCAACTTTGCCCTCCTTTCGTCGACTGAACCACCTCCCCCCTTTCAAACCCCCACCCCACCCCCTTTCTTTCCCCACCAAATCCCCCTCCCACAAAACACACAATGTTCCTTGAAGCACAGACTGTTGGTTTATCGCCTCTCAGGGAGGTTCACTTCGACTTCCAAGGGAAAATCCGAAAATAAGTTGCCTGTAACAACATTCTTGATAGGGACACAGAATCATCACCCCCACTTTTCCGACCCCTCCCACCAACCCCCAGTTGGACCCCGGAACCCACAGGAAGAAGAGGACTATCGAAACCAACGTAAAAGAAACATAAACTGCGAGTTTTTTTACAAACGCAATACTACTGACACAATTATAACTGAAATTCAAATATGGCTGCTGAGGATGTGACGGTTCGGTTACGAGAATGACTGGCGTGCTGTGATGTCGATTCGTAACTCGAGTTAATTCAGCTGAGGCGAGTTCTGGAAATCTGTGATGGGCTTACTGTGAGAGTTGAGTTGAGTTAAGTCCAGAATTGACATCACAGCACTCAGGGCGTTTCCATACGGGCTCCGTCCTCATCTTCAGCAACCAGCGCAGAGTTCCAGGACTAATAATGGTACCGGTCGTAATATAGTTAGGTGTCCGTCTTGCCTTTCCTCTGAGTGTAGTGAGCAAATTGCGAGAAACATTTTTAAACTGCTGACAATCAAATTTCCGGTTTTGTTCTTTTTGATATGTTGCTATAAACGTTCAGACACAAAGGGAAGCAATTTTCGGTTGTTGTTGTTGTTGTTGTTTTTTTTTTAGGTTTTCTTCTCGTTGTGCTGTCTTTATATGTAATTTTCAGGTCTTGCCTATCTTTGCTTGCTCTTCTTTTTTAATAGGAAAACCGAAACCTCCCGGTCTTTAGTTGTTG